GCCGAGTCTTTCTCGCGCGCACAAAGGACGCTGCGGCGAAGCAATTCGAGGCATTCCTCGTTCACTTCGAGAAGATCTTCGGATTCAAGATTCACGTGCTCCGCACGGATGGCGGCGGCGAATACGCGAAGGTGGACCTATTCTGCGAGCGCACGGGCGTCGCGCGCCAAGTGTCGGAGGCGCGCAACCAAGCTTCAAACGGCAAGGCGGAACGAATGCACCGCACAGTGCTGAACCTCGCGCGTAATATGATGTTTGCCTGCGCGCTGCCACTGACGTTCTGGGGAGACGCGGTGCAATACGCCGTGCAAATCATCAACCGGAGCCCCACGCGAGCAAACGCAAAGAGAGCGTCACCACTCGAGGTTCTGACGAGAAAGACGCCGGGTCTGCGCGGAATCGTCGTCTTCGGCTCCCCGTGCGACGTGTACAGGGACCCGGGCAAGAACTCGTTGCTGCAGCGCTCGAAACGCGCCATCATTGTCGGCGTCAGCGAAGAAACCAAGGGCTACAAGGTGCTACTAGCGCGTGAAAACAAAGTGGTCGTCACGCAGCACATCAAGAACATCAAGACGTTGACGGAGGTGCAAAACGCGCAACTTCAGCGCGCGATGGACGTCGTCGATCGAGCCGTAGACCTGGAAGATTTGGACATACCACCAGCAGCAGCGGTAAACGATGTTCGCGCAGAGGGAAGCATCGCGACGCGAGAGAAGAGAGTAAAGCGATGGACGCGGGCGGCGCATGGAACACGCGGTGCGTCAAAACGCGCAGAAGCGGCTGCTCGTCAGGAGGAGGCAGCCGCGAGCGGAGAGGTCGTAAACGCTGTTTTTGAGCACGATCCGCTCAACTACGGACAGGCGATGCGCAGCGTCAAGCGCGAAGAGTATGCAAGAGGAGATTTCCGCGCTTGAGGCCAACGACGTCTGGACAATCACAAAGCGAACGCCAGGGGCGCACGCGTTGCACACCAAATGGGTCTACAAGACCAAGACGGATGCGCAGGGCGACCTCTAGCGGCTGAAGGAAAGATTGGTGGCGTGCGTCAACGAGCAGGTGCTCGGCGTCGACTACACGCTCACCTTCGCTGCCGTGATGGACCTGTCGACGGTCAAAGTGATCCTGGCGCTTGCGGCGACGTGGGGGGTGCCTGCCAAGCACGGCGACATCCCCAACGCCTACGTAAAAGCCGACAAGGAGCTACACCTCCGCATCTTCCTTCAGATGCCGCGCGGCATGCCGGTATCGGAGGAGACGCTGCGAGCGCATGGCGTTTCGAACGCGATTGAGCTGGTGCTGGAGCTGAGAAAGTGCCTGTATGGGCTCAAGCAGGCAGGCCGGCTATGGAGCCAGCTGCTGTAATCGAAGCTCACTGTTGCTGGTTTCACGCGGTGCGAGAGCGACGACCTCTTCGTGTTCGGCGTGTATGTCGACGATCTCCTCGCGACAGGGACGAGCGCGGCAACGGTCGAGCGGTTCTTCGAAAGCCTTGCTTCATTGTCGATTAAGGACCTGGGGCGGGTTAGCAAGTTTCTGGGCATGCGCGTGACGCACAATGGTCAGCGCGGGTACACGCTCGATCAGGAGGAGGCCATCGGATACCTCCTGCGCGACAACGGGCTCGCCGACGCCAACTCGACGTGGACGCCGATCGACGACAGCTGCTACGAGATGGAGGAGGGTGATGCGGATCTTCTTGGGACGCCAAGAGCGCGACCAGGACCGACAGTGCGCCACTTCCAGTCGCTGGTCGGCTCGCTGCTCTGGGTGGCGCGTTGCACGCGCCCCGACATAGCATTTGCGGTGCACAAGGTCACGAGACGAGCACACGCGCCTCGACTGGCAGACTGGAAGCTGGCGAAACGCGTCGCGCGATACCTCAAGGGTACGGCGGCGCTCAAGGTCGCGATGATTCCAGAAGACAACTCGGGTGCGGTGATGTGCCTGGAAGCGTTCAGCGACGCGGATTTTGCCGCCGACAAGACGGACTGGAAGTCAATGACGGGTGGCATCGTGATGCTGAACGGGATGGCCGTCAGCTGGGGTTCGCGGAAGCAGGGAGGCGTATCCCTGTCGACGATGGAGGCGGAGTTTGTTGCGGCGAGTGAGGTCGCGCGCGAGCTGATCGGCCTGCGTGAGATGTTGCGCGAAGTGGGCGTGAAGCCCAAACTCCCGATGCAGTTGAGAGTGGAAAACCAAGCGTCAATCGCGCAGATCGCGGGCGAGGCATCGTCGCTGAAGGCGAAACACGTGGATGTGCGCCTCAACTTCCTGTGCAACTACTCGCGTCGCGGCATGATTGTGGAGAGCTACGTCAGGTCGGAGCAGATGCTCGCAGACCTCCTCACGAAGGCGTTGGATGCGACGAAGCTTTCGACACTGCGCGCGCTCGTGCACATCATGTAAGGAAAGATCAAGAACGACCAAGGGTGTTAAAGGACGTTGGAGGGTGGAGTAAGGGAAGAACGAAGGCGTAATCGAGGAGGAGTGTTGGAAGTTGATGTTGAAGATTATGAGTTCGATTAGCGCCAGCCGTCAATCCGGTCAGCGATAGTCAGTGCAAGATGGTAGCAGACAAGTTGGCCAGCAGCCATCTGTCGTTGAGGCGGTTGGAGCACAGACATTTAGGAGAACGAGTGGCTAGGAGGCAGACAGAAGAGATAACTAGTAAGTATCAATACAGAATCGTATTGTTAACCTACCGCTTCCTTCTCGCAACACGCATCTTGCCTACACATAGCCATGTTGATTTCAGTCGATGCCATCGACAAAGTACGTCAGCATTCATAGCACTTTTGGTACTGTCCTGCACAGCACCATGGTCGTCTGTAACCCGCAAGTATGCCCCCCCATTTCAAGCTTAAAGTTGTGAGTCAACCCATCGCTTTCCAAAAGGCCACAGATGTGAATTGGCAGGCGATCGGGTTGCCTGGTGTTGATGCTGCCGCGAAAGCGCGAGTCCGCCGCTTCCCGCAGCAGAGCTACTGATATGCTTTTGATCAAATATTCTACTTCCTGCTTCGCTTATAGGACTGTGGTGAAGTGCCAGGAGAATCGGGGCCCAGGGTACCAGGGTACAGGGGCCCCAGGGTACAGGGGTCCAGGCCTCGCAAGGTCCCAGGCCTCGCAAGGTCCCAAGGTTCAATCGAGGGTCACCAGGGACAGGGTTTCCAGTCACCAGGGACCGGAGTACTAGTCACTAGGGACAGAGTTTTCCGTTACCGGGGACAGGGATACCAGTGACCGGGGACAGGGTTTTTAGCAACCGGGGACAAGGTTATCAGTCACCAGGGACAGGGCACCAGGGACAGGGATACCAGTTACCGGGGACAGGGTTTCTAGTAACCAGGGACAAGGTTTCCAATCACCAGGGACAGGGCACCAGGGACAGGGGTACCAGCTATCGGAGACAGGGGTATCGAACGTCCAGGGTCAAAGGTACAAGATTACCCTACCGTGCGCACAACAGGACCCGAAAGGACCGGTGCCCCGAGGTGGTCCAGGGTCCTAAGGTCCAAGAAGGTACAAGGTATTTCAACGTGCAGAGTCGGTACAGGCTCCAAGGTCCAAGAGCACAGGGTACAAGAGCCCAGGGTATCAGGGACCAGGGTAAAGGGTGCAGGGTACCGAGGCCCAGGGTACAGGGCCCAGGGTATAGAGGCACAGAGACCCGGGGTACCAGGATACCGGGGCCCAGGGTTACAGGGGCCCAGGGGTACAGGGGCCCAGGGGTACAGGGATCCAGGGGTACCGGGGCCCAGTGGTACAGGGGTACCAGGGCCCAATGCAGAATCGGTACACAGAATATTGAAGATTACAGAAAGTACAGGTACCAAGGAGCCAGTTCTTCCTCCAAGAGTCGACACGTGGCACTATCCAGATCAAAGGGTTAGGGTTTGGCAAAAAAAGCATACAGAGAATAAGATAAATAAACACACTCGAATTTGCATTACACGTGGCAGCTCCAAGCGCTTCCTACAAGCTTCTACGTATTCCGGGCGGGATACCCTTTGGCCCACCGACGTCAGGTGAGGTGACGGCTCAAGCAACGCAAGTTGAACCTCAGGATAGTTGGCCTGAGGTGTCAAGACTCAAGTGCGAGCTTGTTTCGATCTACCCACCTGTACCGGGGAAGGGATTTATTTTGCCCCCCCCCCCCCCCCGTTGAAGACAGACGTGTGGTAAGATTCAAGCTCGAACGAACCCCAGTAAGTATTGTGGCCTGTGGTGTTCGTACCCATTCTACGACCCGCTATAGGAAGCGGTTTCCCTACGGGGAACAAGAAAAGGGGTCGAAAGACCAAGAAACCGTTAGCTACCAAAGGGGTACATAGTACCAGGTGCACTGCTCTCGACCCAGTCGATTGAACCCAAGAAACCCTGGGCCCGAGTGAAGCATATCCACTCGTGGCCCCCAAGTCCCTCCATACAAGGACCAACTCTTTAAGTCTTCTGTGTCTAACGAAGAGCAAGACCAGCCAAGCCGACGGGTACACAAGGTGAGACCCAAGGTTGACGCGACACGGTATCGGGGCACCCCCTCCGTAAGTCGGCAGTCCGGCGCTGTGTGTGTTTGTGGTTCTCTCACGTCGTTTGAGAATCCACTCCACCACAGGACCATAGCCCCTATGTGAAGCAACCACGAATTCTTTGTTCCTTTGGCAATCGGCACCGACGCGGAGGAGAATACCAAAAACACACAAGGACAATCTGAAGACTGACTATCAGTATATTCAACATGTCATACTAGTCTCTCTAAAGGCCCTCTAAAGGCAGAAGCACGAAAACGACTCGCCTACTCACAAAAGACCTGATTGTGGAACGACATTATCTCAGTACATTGCAAAACTTTTGCGGATGATTGCAAAACTTTATAAAATCATCTTTTGTTGTCTAAAAAGCATTTAATCGTTTTAACACCCATTCCCTTATTACTACATACACCTGATGATGACGCAATCTCACCCCATGAACGCTCGTCCATTCATTTTCGACCAAGAATGACGCTCCAGGACGAGACTTTATCCGCTCGATTCTTCTGTGAGGAACTTGAGGAAGATCTTACTGCACACATACAAAAACAAGCACAATTGAGTGTCTCCAGAGATGATCAATTTCCAGTTATTGCACAGGAAACCGTGGACCTTATTGCACGTAACATTGTAGGTCGGCAGACATTGTTTGAGTCTCCATTTGGTGCCCGTGTCTTGTGCTACGCAGACTTTACAGCCAGTAGTAAATCTTTGCAATGTATTGAAGACTATTTGAATCAAGAAGTTATGCCACTCTATGGTAATACACACACTACGACGTCTATTACGGGGCTACAGACTACTTGTTTTCGACATGAAGCACGGCAGATTGTCGCACAGGCTGTGAACGCCAAGATTACAGGACGTGGGGCCGAAGATTGTGTATTATTTACGGGACAAGGAAGTACTAGTGCAGTGGTCAAGCTAGTGCAAGTGCTTGGGTTGCATCAGTTCAATGCCAATGCAGCACCTGATCAACGCCCCGTCGTTTTCGTCGGACCTTTTGAGCACCACTCCAACCTGTTGCCGTGGCGGGAAACTGCAGCAGATATTGTGACTATTCCAGAAGATAAACATGGACATATGGACCTGAAGGTGCTGCAGACACAGCTGGAAGTCCACGCAGCGCGACCATTGAAGATCGGTGCATTCTCAGCTGCATCTAACTTGACAGGTGTGCTGACAGATATCGACGCAGTATCGGCTCTGCTGCATCAACATGGTTCACTTGCGTGCTGGGACTATGCAACGTGTGCGCCGTATGTGGACATTGACATGAACCCTGTGGTGACGGACGAGAAGCGACGCCCCTTTGTGTACAAGGATGCCGTCTTCATCTCTGGGCACAAGTTTATTGGTGGACCTGGCTCACCTGGTGTGCTAGTTGTCAAGAAGCGTCTCCTCACAAATGCTGTGCCCACGGTCCCTGGAGGCGGGACTGTGTTCTTCGTCACGGAGAACGACCACCGCTATCTGTCGAACAGAGCTGAGCGTGAGGAAGGTGGTACGCCGGATATTCTTGGCAGCATTCGTTTAGGACTCGCGTTCGAGCTGAAACAGCGTGTTGGGACGAAGAATATCTCGACTTTGGAACGACGTAATGTGCTGCGCGTTCGAGAGTCGCTCTTGCAGAACAAGAGTATCGTGCTGCTGGGACGCCAAGACAACGAAGTGGAACAGATCCCCGTGTTTTCATTTCTTGTGCGTTTCGGTGACCGCTTTTTACACTACAACTTTGTGTGTGCGCTCCTTAACGACCTCTTTGGTATACAGACGCGTGGTGGCTGTCAGTGCGCTGGCCCGTATGCTAGTCGCTTGCTGGGTCTTGGTCGTCGTGATGTATTGGCGCTCGAAAGTGCACTTATTGAGAAGAAGGAGATGTTGCGTCCTGGATTTACACGGATGAGTTTCCCCTACTTCATGGGCACAGCGGAGATCGAGTACGTGCTGACAGCAGTAAACTTTGTGGCTACTGACGGCTGGAAGTTCCTGCCGCAGTATAAGTTTGACCACAAGAGCGGTGTGTGGAAGCACTGGACTCGCTTTACTAAGTTCCCCAACCGCAAGTGGATTTCTCACTTTGCAACATCGCTAGAAAGCAAGGCTCGTTCCAAGAACCTCGATGGCAATGATGAAACGCTAGCTGCTCACCGTACAGAAAACCTGATTGAAGCTCGTCGATTGGCGAACGAAGCAAGTAAGAAGAGTTTTGCTTCTCAGGTGGTAGCAAAGTCTGCAGCACAAATGTTAGAGGAAGCGGACGATGAGGCACTTCGATGGTTCGTGTACCCTTCAGAGGCGGTTGAAGCTATCAAGAAGGGAGAAAAACCCATTATGTCGGAGACTATTCGGGGTCCTTACCAGCCTGCGCGTTATACTACAGGTGAACTGAAGGACCAATGGAAGGATGCATCCATGGATGTATCTACTTCCAGCGGTGCGCTTGCCGCGGTCTGTGGTCTAACGACGTGCCATTCTGTTCCGCCAATCCCAGCTACTGTGAATGGTAGCAACAAGTACACGAAGACGTTTGTTGCTACTAACGGCCGTGAGGCGGGAGGCAAGTACCCGCTTCGTTCGACGAGTGTCAATGATACCGTCGAGGCTTCAGTTGTTACGCAGACTAATGCAAACTGTAGCTCTGGCAATTGCGACACTGGCCGTTGCGAAGTGGGCACAGCCCCGGCATGCATAATTGGCACGACTGCAGCAACGGTACAGAAAACCACGACGGCAATCACCCAAAAGACAATTACTACAAAGCTGTTTCCAACGCCTCCGAAGAAACTTTTACGCTGGGTGGGCCAGGCACTGATGCAGTGGGATATGATTCAAGAGGGAGATAGATTGCTACTAGGTGTGTCGGGTGGGAAGGATTCACTGAGTTTGCTGCACGTGTTGCTGCGATTCCAAAAGCGTGCTCCCGTACGCTTTGAGCTTGCTTGTGCAACAGTGGACCCACAGACCCCTTCGTTTGACCCGAGCCCACTGAAGGAGTACATGCGCACATTGGACGTGCCTTACTATTACCTATCCGAGAACATTATCGAACGTGCGACGTGTGAAATGAACGGTGACTCACTCTGCAGCTACTGTTCCCGCATGAAACGTGGTGTTCTGTACACCTGCTGTCGTACGAATGGCTTTAACAAGCTTGTGTTGGCTCAGCATCTCGATGATCTAGCAGAAAGTTTCTTCATGTCAGCCATGCACAATGGCCAATTGCGTACGATGAAAGCAAAATATTGGAACGATCAACAGGATGTGGAAGTGCTTCGTCCATTGGCATATGTACGTGAGATTGAATTGAAGAAATTTGCGTATGATTCACGTCTACCCGTGATCAATGAGAACTGTCCTGCCTGTTTTGAGGAACCAAAGGAACGTCGTCGGATTAAAAAGATGCTCGCTCAGGAGGAAAATTTGTACCCGGACATGTATAACAGTTTACGACGGGCATTATTGCCACTTATGGATAATGCTAGTTATGGACCGTTGGAAGCTATACGTGCACGTGTAGAGCAGGCAAAACAAGAACGCAAACGTACTCCTTCTAGCAAACGGCATCACACTATTGGACTAAAGGTGAGTATATAGCACGGTCCTAGGTGCGTGTTTTTAGGACCGTGTCACCTATTTCAATAGTCCAATTTGGGTCCATAAAAAAACCTCGCATCGGTTTTTTATAATTTATTTTTATTTTTCATGGTAGTATGGGTGGGTACTACTTTGTTGTATCATACTACCATGTATATGTATGTATGTTAACGCGTTACGCGAGCCGTCTTGCCACCAAAGTGGCTCAACTTCCGCATGCGTCGGGTTATCTCTCTTCTCTACATTTCTCTCTACTCTCGCCAGGGTCCATTAAGCGGCGCGCGCTATATGCGCCGCGCTGAAGGCCGTCCAGGCTGCACGATCCTTTGCACACCGGCAAAGGAGGTGCAGGTCTGGGGTCAGACGACGGCGGTGTCCAGCGGTAGGTTTCTTGCTTCGATCCCTTGGATGTCTATCTTGTCAACAGGTCCTACCCAGGGAGGGTCTCTTGTTGCTTGCACCGTGGAACAAAGGATTATGCGAGCGTACCTAAGCGGAGATGCCGGGACTTCGGGACTTCGGGCGTGGCGGCGTACATCGTGGCGGCTTGACTGGCGACTGGGGGTGAGAGCGGCAAGAGAAAGGTGTGTAGAGGGAGAGAGGTCCGTCCTAAACTGACGGATACCGCAAAGCATTCGTCCAAGGCCCGACTAGCATTAAGCTAGCTCAGGCCTTCCGGGAGGGCGTTACCCCAACCCGACCAGGATATACTACCATGTGTCGTGCGTAATTAGGTACTAATCAACAGTGTGATGACGTCATTATTTCGTGTCCACGTAACGCCACCGATCGTTTCTCGTGTCAAAAACTCAGAAATCAGATTTGATATGGATTGCAGACACGCTATTGCAACAACAGCAAAGATCTAATTACCATGTAATTCTTTACTATCATTTTTTCATTCCATGCAACACATGCTATCGCTACAACCACATTTAGTCTTCCTATGATGGTTACTATTATAAGTAGCCTTTGCCCTACAGTAAACACCACGTCCCTCCCTCACTGGCTATCTTACATACTTCAAGCGACTTACAAACCTTTGCGTTTAGGTTTAATCGTCTCACAATTCGACGAGTTGACTTTTCTGTCATGCCCAGCCATACAAAAGCTCACATAATTGCGTCCGTCTCTCTCTTTCCAAGTCATTTCTGAACCAAGTAGACCAATTGATAACCTAAAAAATGGCAGAGACACACGAGATATCTCGTCCTCTCATGGACCGCATCCATTCGACCTATCGTAATAGTGATTATACGCATGAAGTTATGGACTCATCACGTCTCACTGATTCCGGTGCGCAGCGCGATAGTTCCGTGTATGGTAATGGACCTGGTGGCCAACGTATGACAGAGATGAAGCTTCTTGCAGTAGAGCCAGACCTTGGAGCAGCTCCAGAACGTACTCGAGACTACAAAGGTCGTCTTCGAACATGGCCTGGTGTCCTGTTTCTACTGCTTCTTGTAGCAGGTGCTGTGACTCTCATTACAATAAACGCCATGACTGTGAATAACAAAACAAAAGTCAATGATGAACGGTATGAGAACCGAAAGCGATTAAGTCGAAAAATTAAAGACGGTTTGAACGATGATCATGTTCTTATATCAGACGATGGACAAATTGGAAATCCGAAACACTATCCAGATATGGGCTGTGAATTACCTGATTATCAAAGTAAAAAGGGTAAAATTTATGCAATTTCCAAGAATGGAACGGAAGTACCAATTGGAATCAAAGGACTTAGTTGGTTTGGAATGGAATCTGGACTAGCTATACCCTTTGGATTATGGGAAAACATGAACAATGGAACATCTGTCTACGAGATAGCGGCTTTTTTGTCTCGTAACAAATTCAATAGCGTTCGTTTACCGATTTGTATCACAAATATTCTCAAGAACACGGCACCCGAAAAGTCACTCATCAATACGGACACAAACCGAGCTATTAACATTACATCGTACATTACAACGATCCAGACAATTGTTCAAGCTCTTGGATACCGTAAAATTTCAGTCATGCTCAGTCTTCACACTTTAACTCCGAGAATCCAAGGAGGTGCATGGTACAGTAAAAAATTGGGTGTGACACAGGATGAATATTTGTCGGCGGTGGACATTCTTACAAAGAACTTATGTGGCCCCAAATACTGGAACATCCTTGGATTGGATCTGAAAAACGAACCGTACGAATGTACGTGGGGAGGAAAAGCACCGGATTGGCAAAAGGGATCGACACTGATAGGAAACAGGATGCTGGAGGGGTGCCCGAACTGGTTGGGTTTCGTCGAAGGCATTGCTAGCCAGGGCACCATTACGTTGAATGGGATAGAGAAAACTTACTTTGATTGGTGGGGATCTGGTCTTGTTGATGCTGGTAGCGATCCTCCCACTTTTGACGTCAAGAATAAGTTAGTGTATGCTCCGCACTACTACAACCCTGGTGTGGATCCGGCTTGGTACCTATACGCCTCTGGCACTCGTGACAAAACAGGAGCACTGGAAGACTACGTCGAACTGGACAATAAAACTCTGAAAAACAATATCGAGAAAACCATGGAGAAGATGTTTGGCTATTTGCTGACTGAGAACCCAACCTCTGCTTTGATCATGGGCGAGTTTGCTGGTCTTTACAGCAAAGACGCCCACCCGCTGCTTACAACAAAACGCACGACGGACTTCCAAATCGAACTGATGCTCGAGGCAGACTACGCTGGAGCCTACATGTGGTCCCTGAACCCAGAGAGTGCGTACCAGTTCAACCCGGCCGACACTTTGGGCCATTTCACAGAGGGTCTGCTGGAAGATGACTGGTTGACACCAAACAAAGTTTTCCTCGATGGTATGGCTCCGCTGGACAAGATCAAGAATCTAAAGATGTTCCCGTGCTTTCCAGTCAAAGTGAAGAGTGACACGAAGGTCAAGTAAGGTAGGAGTTGTTTCCTTTCCTTACTAGCATTTGTTCCTTTCTCTATCGTTGCATTTCTTGCTTTTGGGATGTGGTGTCGTACCCGTGTTCGGTTGACGGAGTCATTAATGCCATTCTGGGTGAGACGGTCTACTAGAAATTGCATTTACGTATTCCATTGCCTCCATAGTAAGTCTAGACCCAGCAGTATCCTTAGCAACGGCTTGACCATCGGTTTGCAGCCACATGCGGATCAATATGAAGGTATCGCATGCGTAGCCTTCCGAAAATGGGAATTTCTGACCATCATCTTGTTATTCGTTTTTTCAATTTGGACAGTCGATCTAGCCCTAGATTCGCCGTGTAGAGCATAACGTGCTTTAACATGGAAGTCATTGTAGTTTCGGCCAATGTCAAAAGTCTGTCTTTGCAGTCGATGATACCTTTAGACTTGCTGATACCTTCTGAATATCAGAGTACACGAGTGACCAAGCCAATGCATTGCAGAAAGAAATACTGGTTCCGACACCGGTCGAGAAACCGTGACAAAGACAACTTTCGTTGGCGATAGAACCAAGCGATAATGCGTTGACACGACAGGTCCATGACTAGAGAGGTGCTGACAAATGTAAGTCATTTTCCTGTCTTCATTTACATGTGGGTAACCTCATTCTGCAGTTTGTCGTCGTGGGCAGAGCCGCAGCGATCATAACGGCATATGCCACAAATTTCGCTAAGAAATCAGTCAAAAGCGCAGCGTAGGATCGGCGATTTGGAATATCATCGGATCGATTTGAAAAAACGAGCCACACGAATGCTCATGAAGAAGGGTACGACATTCATTGGCAACCGCATAATGGAAGGGCTACCCAACTGAGTGTCCATTCAAAGTATCGCCAACTTGGTACCGTTACTCTGATCAAAGAGCAGACTCGTAGAATGGGTTGGTGGAGCGGTGCTTCGAGAATGTAGGGGGTCAATTTCGTTGAGTTCAACACCAGAACAAGTCGGTGTGGGCTCCACACGGCCATGTTCCTTGCGTGATACTTACGTATCGACAGACGCGAAGAATGCATTACGTGAAGCTGGATGACGAAATACTAGAGAAGAATGTGGAGAAGACCATGGACACGGTGTTTGGAAACTAGGTTTGGGTTGGCAAGAACGGCAATGATCACGGGTGAGTTTGCTGACCTGTACGGTCATGACGCTCACCTTGATGACCATTAAACGCACGATGACTTTATTGTTGAGGTCGCCTGCTCTATGCAGGCTACACATGCGGATACATGTATTCATTGCACCCTATAAGTGCATACCATTACAGCTGTCAGAAGACGACTGGTTTTTTCTACACCAAACAAAGACTTGTATGACCACTATGGACACCATTCCAAGCGACGTTAAAGATGTCCCATGTTTTTTGAAAGCAGAGTAATTGAAGCAGAGTCTGAAGTCGAGTTGAGCACGAATGCAACACAAACTTTATCCGTTACACACGTCAAAGATACTCGAAACTTTGAGGAGAGTAGCGAGTAAAACTACTCAGAAACTCAATTCTAGTAACTTAGGAACCTCTTGACTTAAGACCTCTCCGAGACACGACACAAATGTCATAAATCATTTCATGGCAATGAAGTCTCATAGTTTCATGTACCTGACTGACATGTCACGGTTATAGAATTTTCATGGTGAGAGGTGCAGCCGAATTTATCGCCTGTCCTGTGGTAGTTTCATCATTCTCTATGTCAAGAAATGTTACCACTTCGTACAGATATCACGCACGTACTCACGTTAGGGACAAGTTGTCTCTCTATTGTCTCCTCTCACTTCATATTCTGCCAAGAACCCGAACTTGGAGCTGAATGGAGGTATCCCGGCCGATGACTAACCATTCGACGTTGGCGGATAACCTGCCCGTCAACGGCCAAACGAGCGACTATTCCAGTGGTCGATTTAGTTCTAACATCGACTCGTCCCAAGTCCAGCGTTTATCGGAGTCTGGTGGTCGTGTGAGCTCCACGTATGGCCAACGTCAGACCGAAATGAGGCTTAAAGCCGCAGACTTTGACGACTTACCACCCGAGAGGACCAAGGACTACAAGGGACGAATTCGAACGTGGCCTGGACTGCTGCTACTATTGCTTTTGGTTGGAGGTGCCGCAGCAATCATCTTGCAGCAGGCAATGGAAACGAGCGACTTGATTAGTGCCAGTCAAGAAAATTACGAGCAACAACAAGCCATTAAACGTAAGATCAAAGACGGCATGGAAGACGACCAAGTGCTCATTTCAGATGACGGACAAGTCGGAAACCCAAAGAAATACCCGGATATGGGATGTGAATTGCCTGATTATCAAAGCAAGAATGGAGAAATCGTTGCCGTGTCAAAGAATGGCACCGAGGTTCCAGTCGGTATCAAGGGTACCAACTGGTTTGGAATGGAGACTGGTTTGGCCATTCCTTTTGGACTATGGGAGAACATAGACAACGGTACGTCCGTCTACGAGGTGGCAGCCTTTTTGGCTCGCAACAACTTTAACAGCGTCCGTTTACCGCTTTGTATCAAAAACATTCTCAAGAATGTGGCACCGGAGAAGTCGCTTATTAACATGCAAACGAATCGAGCCATCAAGATTTCGTCCTACATCTCGACAATCCAGTCGATCGTTGAAGCGCTGGGCTACCGTCATGTCTCCGTTCTTATCAGTCTTCATACATTGGACCCCAAGAAGTCGGGCGGTGCCTGGTTTAGCGAAGAGCTCGATGTGACCGAGGACGAGTTTCTCGAGGCTGTTGACATTCTTACCAAGAACTTATGTGGCTCCAAATACTGGAACATCCTTGGATTGGATCTGAAAAACGAGCCGCACGAGTGCACGTGGGGAGGAAAAGCACCGGACTGGCAGAAGGGAGCGACGTTGATAGGAAACAGGATGCTGGAGGGATGCCCGAACTGGCTGGCTTTCGTCGAAGGTATCGCTTCCAAGGGCACCATTACGTTGAATGGGATAGAGGACACTTACTTTGATTGGTGGGGAGGTGGTCTTGCTGACGCGGGCGGCAATCCTCCCATATTTGACATCGAGAACAAACTCGTCTGGTCCCCACACTACTACAACACCGGTGTAAATCCGGCCTGGTACCTCTACGCCTCGGGCACTCAAAACGCAGAGGGAGGGCGAGATGACTACGTAGAGCTGGATAACAAGACACTGAGAAACAACGTGGAGAAAACCATGGAGAAGATGTTTGGCTATTTGCTGAAAGAAGACACAAACACCGCTATGGTCATGGGCGAGTTTGCTGGACTGTACGCTAAAGACGTCCACCCGATGCTTACAACAAAGCGCACATCGGATTACACACTCGACGTCATGCTCCAGGAGAACTACGCTGGAGCCTACATGTGGTCACTGAACCCAGAGAGTGCGTACCAGTTCAACCCGGCCGACACTTTTGGCCATTTCACCGAGGGTCTTTTGCAGGACGACTGGCTGACGCCAAACAAGGTGTTTGTGGATGGTATGTCTGCTATGGACGTGATGAAGAACCTTCAACTGTTTCCTTGCTTCCCCGAAGAAAAGAAAGACTCCTCGTCAAAAGGAGCTGTAGAAGAAGAAGAAGAGTAGATGAAGCGCATAAACTATCATCCATTAGTCCAGTAACCAAAGTTGCTGACACATCGTGCCATTCAAAGCAGGAGCTGAACTGTACGCTCAAGTACACCGAGGTTCAGCTGGCTCAACTGAGATGTTTCTTCGTCGGCTATTCCTAGTTGTGTATGTATTAGCGATACCTTCATAGATCTCGATAATCGATTCATGTGCAAAGAGCTTAGTGGTTGGTAGGTTGGTGATAGAAAAAATGAGCGAAGCAAGGTGCGGCGCGTACAATAACACAAAAGACTGTTCAACAAATTTCTTGTAACCTGTTAAGGGAGGTGTCTTCTATCCTTCATGCGTACTATTGCGATGTAGTGGCGTCGGATGAACGAAAAGGCCATGTCATCGAAATTGGAGAGCAGCCGTGAGGAAGCTCTGACTCGTGATAGACCACCTTGGCCTTCGTACGCGCAATAGTGTGGAGTTGATCCAACACTAACATCTATTGCTCGAGTTCCCCCAGAGGATTGCAACTATCGCTGCCTTCTCATCGTTAACAGTTGTGCTGCGCTTCTAAGTCGCCTTGTTTGATCCATGCGAGCTTAGTCGAGTAGCTTCTTCTTACGATACATGTTGCCATCCATTAAATAGAGCTACTGGTAGTAGGCATTGATGGATTAAAAGCTAGAGTAGACACCAAGGCGCTGATCCTAGTGCACGTAATTGGTCTCATAGCACTAAGCTGCTTTCGGTTATGAGCTTCACTAGAAAATAACCCTCTGATGTAGTCTCGTTCTGAGCACGTGTAGTTTGAATGAAAAGCATTTGCCGCGGCACAATTAGGACTCTGAACGAATGAAAGAGAACAACATTCGACATTCGACTGTTATCGTTCGTCTCCCCAATCTACTTTGCCCCATTTGGCACGCGTTTTCTAAACTTAGATGTTCTCTCTACACGTTCATACAAAACTCGAATAAACACCTTAACCTGACGCTCAGCGGTTGGCTGCGTGGCACATGTCAGTGACAGGTGACGATAAGATAGTTTGGATGATGAAGAAGCCTGACAGCGTAAAGGGCAACACAACGCACCGATTTCGTCAGTTGTCCATTGACCATCAGTACATAACTTTGTGACTTTCAGACCCCTTGCAAATTTACTGCAATGAGAGATCACCGTGCTAGTCTCGTGGTGGGGCGACCGGGCGAGCGGTTGTCGACCCCGTGGCAGATTGAGGCTACAGTTGTTCGAAACGAGCGGGATCCATCGTCAGGGCGAGGCGCAATGCCCTTCACGGCCATTTACTCGAACAAAGACCATTCCACGCCCAAGTTTACGACTGATCCGTCCCAGATCATGCGGCTTGTGGTCAAGAAGCCGAGTGGGTCCGAGAACGAATCGGACTATAAGGGACAGCACAGAGTACGAGCTCTAGTCTTTGTGATAGTGATGGTTGTTGGTGGTTGAACTGACGACTGAATTTACGGTGCTAGATTTGGCCTGGTTTGCTACTGCTGTTCGTGCTCGTTATGGGCTCAACGGTTCTGATCATAACAGGAGCAATGAAGACGTCCGAAACGCGCAAAGCGCGAACATTGCATTACGAGCAACGTGTAGCAGGAAAACGTTCTATTAAAGACGGCAAGACTAATGAAGACATCATCATCTCGGATGACGGTCAAATTGGCAACCCCAAGTCGTACGACACTAGCATCAGTACGTGGCTGTCCTATTTCATACTACGGTAGTACATCGTTGACAATAGTTGATGCAATTCTTGTAAACGTTGCAGCTTGTGAAATGCCCGACTACCAAAGCAAAAATGGCCAGATCGTAGCGGTTGCTGCCAACGGTACGGAGATATCAATTCAAATCAAAGGTGTCAATTGGTTCGGTATGGAGACAGCGCTTGCAGTACCATTTGGGCTCTGGGAGAACACTGACAATGGAACTACGGCAGTAAGTGACTAGTTTGTTCTCTTTAAAACGATGTCGTTTGAGACGCTAATGTGATTATGAAAACAGTACGAGATAGCAGCGTTCTTGGCACGAAATAACTTTAACGCAGTGAGAGTGCCGGTTTCGATTGAAAACGTACTGAACAACAGTCCACCTCAAAAGGGTGTGATCAATCTCTCAAGCAATCGTGCGATCAATGGAACAAATTTTATCTCGACACTACAGACAATTACGAAAGCATTAGCGTACCGCAAAATCGGTGTGCTAATAAGTATGCACCGACTCACTAACAAAAAGTCGGGTGCTACGTGGTTTGATGAAGATCTTGGCGTGACGCAAGATGATTTTCTAAATGCAGTTGACATCATTTCGTCCAACCTTTGTGGACAGGATTATTGGAACGTCATGGGCATGGATTTAAAGAATGAACCGGAAACTGCAACGTGGGGAACTGGGGATGACGACGATTTTGTCGTGGGTTGTGAAAAAATTGCAAAGGTCATGCATGGTAATTGTCCGCAATGGCTTGGCTTTGTTGAAGGTGTCGTGGGTGTACATACTGTCACGATTGGTGACGAGGAACTAGATTACTACGATTGGTGGGGTGGTGGTCTACAGAAGGCAGGAGATACTCAGCCTGAGTTTACGATTGAAAACAAAGTCGTGTGGGCTCCTCATTATTACACGACTGCAGTCGCTCCCCAACGCTATTTCTACGGTGATAAAACGACCTCTGACTTTTCGACGTATGTGGAATTGTCTGATAAAGACCTTCTTACACGTGTGGAGGGTACAATGTATGACATGTTTGGATATTTGGTAAATGACAAGGGCTATGCTTTATTACTTGGAGAATTTGCAGGTTTGTATACAAAAGATGCCCATCCAAAGAAAACAACCAAGCGAACAACGGATTTAACGATTCAAGTGTTGATGGAAAACAAATATGCTGGTGGATTTATGTGGTCCTTAAATCCAGAGAGCGAGTATCAATACAATCCAGCTGATACGGAAGGTTCCTTTACAGAAGGTATGCTACTTGATGATTGGTTGTCACCGAATAATGACTTTCTCGATGCATTTATCCCCATGGATGCCATGCCAAATTTACGAAAATTTCCATGTTTTCCGATTGTAAAAGAAGACGAATAAATATGACGTGACATTTTTTTTTGAAAATATAAATTACGTCGTACATATAGGATACTATCATTTCAATACAACACATCGTGAGAAATGTCACTCTTCACTCGAGTGACACTGCCTTGATATTTCGTCATTCATCATCTGGAAATCAAAGGTCTCAAAGCTCTCTCCCTTTCTTGTGTTTACTACCCCCATCATCCCCATAATCTGGCTCTCTATGATCAAGTGGACACGTTTCTTGACGTTGGTTGCCGTAGCACTGACTCCATCCGTCTCTGCCGACGTTGAGACACACGAGGTAAGAATGTATATCCCTAAAAACCTTTCTCTTTTCATATCAGAATGTATATATTCATTTTTGCAATAGTATACACCAGGTGAAGAAGTTGTTGTCTGGGTGAACAAAATCGGGCCATTTAATAATCCCCAAGAGACATATACGTACAATACACTGCCTTTCTGTCGTGCAAGTGGGGCAGAAGAGCCAGAGGCTCATGCATTGGGCATTGGGGAAATTTTAGAAGGCAATGAACTTTTTAATTCGGGTCAATTGATTAAATTTGGTGTAAACGCACGTAAAACAACACTCTGTGAACAAACACTCTCGGATGCCGATGCACTTCAATTTGGAGCAGCTGTGGATGAACATTACTGGTATCAAATGAGTGTGGATGATTTACCGGTATGGGGTCTCGTGGGAAAAGTTATGAAACCGACCGATGATGTCGAAATTCTTAAATTATATCCCGTTGGAACTCGTGTACTGTACACACACAAGAAATATTCGATTTCCTACAATGAAAAACACATTATTCACGTAAATTTGACGTATTCCGACGTACTAACGTCAATTTCATCCAATAAAAAGGTGGCCTTTACGTACGAAGTCATGTGGACGGACACAAAAGTCCCATTTGAAGATCGGTTTGATCGGTATTTGGAAGATGAATTTTTTGAACATCAAATTCATTGGTTTTCGATTTTTAATTCGTTTATGATGGTTATTTTTCTCTGTGGTCTTGTGGCGCTTATTTTACTACGTACGCTTAAGAATGATTATGAACGGTTTGCAGAAGATGATGCAGAAGAAATGATGATGGATGGCAAGTCGTTATTGTTGAAAAATGATGCAAATTCCGGCTGGAAATTGTTACATGGTGATATCTTTCGTGCTCCGTCGTATTTGCTGTTATTCACGGCATTGATTGGAACGGGAGCACAATTATTGGTGTTGTCAATCTGTCTCGTGCTTATTGCTATTGCCTCGTCGCTTTACATTGAACCAGGTGGTGTCGTGTCTGTAGGACTCACTGTCTATGCTTTTTCGTCACTGGCAAACGGATATGCAAGTGGTGCTTTTTACCATCAGTTTTTCTACCCGCGTGTATCAAAGAACTGGATACGTGCCATGTGTTTGTCGTCAATGCTGCTTCCCATGGTTACATGTGTGACGGTATTTTTTATCAATGCGCTGGCTGTGATTTATGGTACGACATATGCCATTCCGTTTGTGACGATCGTGCAGGTAATATTGGTGTGGTTCTTTGTTTCGTGCCCGCTTGCCGTTCTGGGGACAATTTTGGGTCGACATGGTGCCGCAAAGGCAGGTTTTCCGTGCCGTGTCAACAAGTTTTCCCGCGAAGTACCACAAGCGCGTTGGTACTTGCGTCCACCAGTGTTAATTGCACTCACGGGTGTACTACCGTTCGGGTCGATCTTTATCGAGATGTACTTTATTTTTGCATCGTTCTGGAACTACAAGTTTTATTACGTGTATGGATTCATGCTGCTGGTGTTTATCATTCTGACGATTGTGACGCTCTGCGTAACCATCGTGTGCACGTACTTTTTGCTAAATGCTGAAAATTATCGATGGCATTGGACGTCTTTCGCGGCCGCGGGCAGCACTGGAATCTACGTTTTCATCTACGCCATCTATTTCTATTTTTTCAAGACCAATATGTCAGGTTTCTTGCAGACATGTTTCTACTTTGGCTACATGTAAGTAACTGTTAGGCATCTGTATACATGTATGTATGTATGGATCATGATACTAACTGGTTACGTCTTTACTGATTTGTAGGGGACTGTTTTGTTTCGCGTTCTTTATCATGTGCGGCACCATCGGATACCTTGGCAGCAGTGTTTTTACTAAGCGCATCTATCGCAACATCAAGTGTGAGTGAAGCGAGGAACGCGAGACCAGGCGTACTGTTGCGCAACCAAGACAAGAGCAGAAAGAGGATTAAAGGAGGGAAATTGGGTAGCGGTGGTAGAAAAAGTTGGATAATGAATAGTAAGCCACCGAGAACAGCAGGCCGTACTTGGTGAGTAGGTGTTGTGCAATCATGCGTTTTGCCGACCCTTTGGTTTAGGCGATAGTCTAAAAATTCTTTTAGGCATGGCCGTAAAGCATTCGTTCCTGGACGTCTGTCGCAGGGTGAAGCAAAAATGCATTACAAACGCGGCAACAAAATCTCTTCTGGTCTTTGACGCTTCCCACGCGGAGACGCAGACGACACCTCTGGACTGCCACTCTTTTGCTGCTCTGCAGCTCTGCTGCATGCGGCAGACGTCTTACGTGGTCAATTGAGACTGAAATCGCTCAAACTGAGAGTAGCGTCATCCGACCATGGAGAATGGGGTGTAAAAGGAGCTTCCAACTAGTAGCGGCTCCGTCTCGCAGCACATTTAGGCAGTTGCAGTGGCTGCTGAATTCGAAAGTGAGACTGAGAACTCGAGTACGACAAGCGGTCAGCGAAACCTCCGAGTTACATTGCCAACACTGGCTACAGTTGGTCTGTCTGCTGTGACGTGACCAGCGGCTCTCACATTGCTTCGATGTTCTCGATGGAAAAAGCCGAATTTCCTACGCTACTTGTAGCGTGCTGAGCTCCTGCTCGAAACCAAAGTGTCAGAGACTGCGACGAATTAGTAAGAAGAGCCGCAATCGCATACACGTACCAGGTTCATAACGATGCGGTTCCAGGCCTCCATATTCTTCACGAGCTGGCGCCATTGATTCTCAGCGTTGCTGCTACGCACCTGCTGCAGCTCACTCTTTTCCTGTGCCGCCTAGACATCAGTCAAGAAACGTGTCAAAAGAATGATCAATCTTAATCATCGCTACTCCTGGTTTCAAGCTCACCATTCTCAAAAGAGGATCAATGTCCTCGCACAAACTGATGTTGTCATCTCCATCTAGTATTCGAGACGTTAGCTTTCGACACATGTCAGACCTAGAAACCAACCGACTGCCTACCTCCTTCAGGCGTGCTTATCTTCTGCTGCTCAGCTAAGTACGTCAATCGCTCGGCCAAGTGATCATAGAATTCGCCGCTTAACTCGTCGATACGGGTCTGTGGTGGAATTTTCACTTGCTCCTGGTCGGCTTGCAAGCCTGGTGTACGACGTGCTTTCTGAGGTGCTTTGGTGGGGGATGCCTGGCGACTGTTGCTGCTGCTGCTGCGACCACCTTGGGAGCTGCTTGATCCACTTCGTGTTCGTGTGCGCCAAATACTTGACGTCATTGGTGCTTCGGTAGGCGTAGCAGCATCAGTGCTCCCACATGGAGCACTTTCGTTCTCGAGCACCAGTTTGTGCTTGTTAACCACACTAAAATCCACGTTACGAGTAAACACAAGTCCGCGGTATGCGTAGCGCCGCACGCTTCGTAGGCATTTCCAAAGCGAGGTAAATGATGTCGCTAGCGATGCCTATCCGTGCAGAAAGTGGTGGTCGACTTAGTATCGCACAAGTTAATCAGTTTGGATACCAGCAAGCTTACTCTTGATGAACCGATGTGATACCTCTGGTTCGAGAACTCGATAAGTACGTGGTGCACATGGTCAGGCCCCAGGTAAGACAGAACCAGTGTCTGGGCATCCTTGCGACGAAGCAAAAAGGTGCCTGGCTCTCGATTGCTACACAAATCGCAAACAGCAGTTAGAATCTAGCGTTTGATCCATAGCTGCATATCAAAACACACTAGACGTACTCAAGAAGAGCTTCAGCATGACCTCGGCTGATACTGCCAGCGAAAAAATGCCACGCCTCTTGGTCATTGCGTCGATCTCTTTCAGCTTTTTCTTCTTCTTTCCGTCGCTCAAGAACCTCCTCTAGTTTTTCTCGCCTACGAGACTCAGCTGCAGCGGCAGCATCCTCCTCTTCGTTAATTTGTCGCGAACCAGAAAATGGGAACTGAAATTCCTCAACCGACTCGGAATCATCATCCGTCTCGTCATTACCAAGAAGACTACTGTTAGTGGCACGGAGGTAGACGCCTTTGTCAGTACCCAGAATCCAGCTGCCACCGTACGTGGAGGCGCGGTTATCCGTACACAATGCAGTAGCAATCTGTGCATTATCATCTTTTTTCTCTTCCTCGTCGTTCGCATTGAATCTCTCGTTTAGCGGTATCATATTCTCGTCTCGCGACAGCGTGGTAATAGCTTTTGTAGGGATACGCAGCAAAGAAGTCGAAAACTGATGTAATGCATCATCAGTTTGGATGATTTCCAGTGGCGCCGGGTTCCCAGACGTCTCTAGAATCCCCTACAGAAAAAGAAGATGCAGAAGTTTTGTCAGCTACCAAAATCTATTGCTAGATCTGTTAAGGTATGAGTTTTACCTGTGGTCTTGTCAAACATCGGAGTCGGATGTGCTCCGTTGCAATACGATCTCTGCAGATAAACTCCACCATTCGGTCCAACGCGTCTCGAACAGCTGGATTTTGTTCATTCTCTCCAAAATTGGCCTTACCTACTGTCCACATCCATCCTTTATATCCTGCAGCCTACCATCATGGAGAAAAGAATTCTGTCCATTAGTTTTTCAATACTCAGCAATGACTTTTGAAACCTCTTACTCTTGCATAAGCAGCAATATCATCACTTGTCATGACCCGTTTCTGTAGTAAATCCGCCTTGTGCGAAAGAAGAAAACACGGTGTTTCTTTGGGTGATAAATACTTGGCCAAACAATGTCGCCACTTGTCAAGAGCAGCAATTGAACTCACACGATGAACATTAAAGACAAAAAAATCCCATCCAAATCTTCACACAATAGTGAATGTAAAGACGATCCACTAGTGTCCACCTCAGCACTTGAAACGTCCCATATATGAAGTAGTACTTCTTGTCCACAATGTGTGTACGTAATAGTACTAATATCGACACCAATAGTGGGCGTATATATTGTCGAGTAGGAACGATTTAACCACCGTCGGACAATACTTGTTTTACCCTATACAACGATCAAGTCAAATGTTTTTTAGAAATATTTCGAATCAGATTTTCATTTCATTTCATTATTGGATGTACGTACCACTGCTGATCCACCAACAAGAGCGAGTTTAAGTGCTGGTATTGGATTTAATCCATTCTCAGCTCGAAGTTTCGCCCAATGTCCAAATGATTCTTGAGAGACGCGAGTACTGTCTTTTTCTACATTTTCAGTGGAACGTCGCGTAAAAAAAGACGAAGTATTATTTCCTTCACCTAAAAATGTCGAGGAAATCATTTTCATCCATTTTGAAGTAGCACTATCGGCCAATTCCACGGACTCAGAACTTTGCATCTTTAATCAGCAATAAATTAGAAATGGAGTGAACTTTATACGTTTCTAATTAGATTGAAAATAGTCGTGCATCGGAGATAAGTGGTAGTAGTAGTAGTAATAATAGTAGTAGTCGAGTAGTAGTAGTAGTAATAGTAGAAGTAATAGTAGAAGTAATAGTAGAGGTAGTACTATAATGCAGACTTTTAATATCGGCCGATTATGCTCTGCTAGATCGATGGTCCAAATTGAAAAAACGACTAACAAGATGATGGTCAGAAATTCCCATTTTCGGAAGGCTACGCATGCGATACCTTCATATTGATCCGCATGTGGCTGCAAACCGATGGCCAAGCCGTTGCTAAGGATACTGCTGGGTCTAGACTTACTATGGAGGCAATGGAATACGTAAATGCAGTTTCAAGTTGACCGTCTCACCCAGAATGGCATTAATGACTCCGTCAACCGAACACGGGTACGACACCACATCCCAAGAGCAAGAAATGCAACGATAGAGAAAGGAACAAATGCTAGTAAGGAAAGGAAACAACTCCTACCTTACTTGACCTTCGTGTCACTCTTCACTTTGACTGGAAAGCACGGGAACATCTTTAGATTCTTGATCTTGTCCAGCGGAGCCATACCATCGAGGAAAACTTTGTTTGGTGTCAACCAGTCATCTTCCAGCAGACCCTCTGTGAAATGGCCCAAAGTGTCGGCCGGGTTGAACTGGTACGCACTCTCTGGGTTCAGGGACCACATGTAGGCTCCAGCGTAGTCTGCCTCGAGCATCAGTTCGATTTGGAAGTCCGTCGTGCGTTTCGTTGTAAGCAGCGGGTGGGCGTCTTTGCTGTAAAGACCAGCAAACTCGCCCATGACCAAAGCAGAGGTTGGGTTCTCAGTCAGCAAATAGCCAAACATCTTCTCCATGGTTTTCTCGATATTGTTTTTCAGAGTTTTATTGTCCAATTCGACGTAGTCTTCCAGTGCTCCTGTTTTGTCACGAGTGCCAGAGGCGTATAGGTACCAAGCCGGATCCACACCAGGGTTGTAGTAGTGCGGAGCATACACTAACTTATTCTTGACGTCAAAAGTGGGAGGATCGCTACCAGCATCAACAAGACCAGATCCCCACCAATCAAAGTAAGTTTTCTCTATCCCATTCAACGTAATGGTGCCCTGGCTAGCAATGCCTTCGACAAAACCCAGCCAGTTCGGGCACCCCTCCAGCATCCTGTTTCCTATCAGTGTCGATCCCTTTTGCCAATCCGGTGCTTTTCCTCCCCACGTACATTCGTACGGTTCGTTTTTCAGATCCAATCCAAGGATGTTCCAGTATTTGGGGCCACATAAGTTCTTTGTAAGAATGTCCACAGCCGACAAATATTCATCCTGTGTCACACCCAATTTTTTACTGTACCATGCACCTCCTTGGATTCTCGGAGTTAAAGTGTGAAGACTGAGCATGACTGAAATTTTACGGTACCCAAGAGCTTGAACAGTTGTCTGGATCGTTGTAATGTACGATGTAATGTTAATAGCTCGGTTTGTGTCCGTATTGATGAGTGACTTTTCGGGTGCCGTGTTCTTGAGAATATTTGTGATACAAATCGGTAAACGAACGCTATTGAATTTGTTACGAGACAAAAAAGCCGCTATCTCGTAGACAGATGTTCCATTGTTCATGTTTTCCCATAATCCAAAGGGTATAGCTAGTCCAGATTCCATTCCAAACCAACTAAGTCCTTTGATTCCAATTGGTACTTCCGTTCCATTCTTGGAAATTGCATAAATTTTACCCTTTTTACTTTGATAATCAGGTAATTCACAGCCCATATCTGGATAGTGTTTCGGATTTCCAATTTGTCCATCGTCTGATATAAGAACATGATCATCGTTCAAACCGTCTTTAATTTTTCGACTTAATCGCTTGCGGTTCTCATACCGTTCATCATTGACTTTTGTTTTGTTATTCACAGTCATGGCGTTTATTGTAATGAGAGTCACAGCACCTGCTACAAGAAGCAGTAGAAACAGGACACCAGGCCATGTTCGAAGACGACCTTTGTAGTCTCGAGTACGTTCTGGAGCTGCTCCAAGGTCTGGCTCTACTGCAAGAAGCTTCATCTCTGTCATACGTTGGCCACCAGGTCCATTACCATACACGGAACTATCGCGCTGCGCACCGGAATCAGTGAGACGTGATGAGTCCATAACTTCATGCGTATAATCACTATTACGATAGGTCGAATGGATGCGGTCCATGAGAGGACGAGATATCTCGTGTGTCTCTGCCATTTTTTAGGTTATCAATTGGTCTACTTGGTTCAGAAATGACTTGGAAAGAGAGAGGGAGAGACGAACGCAATGATTACGCTTAGTGCATATCAGAAAAAAAACTCAAATAGCAACAGATGATTGAAATAAATTCGAAGGTTGGAGGTCACTTGCAGTTGGGATGATAGCCAGTGAGGAGACGGTATAGAGCACATGCCATCATCATTTTATTAGCAGCCTAAATATATATGAAAACAGCAAGTGTTGCATTGAATGGAGAAGATTTGCAGATAAACACTTGCTATCGCCATAAACTATTCACCCAGAAACCGAGAAATTCTCGTTGTTTAGCGTACCTGCACTGCAATCCATGATAAGTCTAATTTCTGAACTTTTGACACGGGAAACGGTCAGTGGACGAGAGATAGTCATGATAGAGAATCTACATTGGAGACGAGGTTTTTTAATAACGATTGTAAAATGAAAAGACCCAAATTGTCTAAAGTATTTTGGCAGTAAGATAGAGACTTGTTCGGCTTCATTGCGCGTCATCCTGAAATCGGTCCGCTAGGATTTTCGTGCGGTACTCGGGTATGCTGTCAACTCGTCGACTGGCACAAGCCCCCAGAAAGCATTGGGTCAATTTTCGGGTAACGATTTGCCCGGTCAAGTGACCAATGAGCTTTTTTCCAGAGCGCTGCAGCGCAATCACATTCCCAAAACAGATGGGTCAAATGGTCTCCTTCCTGCCGCAGCAATCCGGTGTCTTTTTGCAACTATTGCGTTCGTTTCTCTCGGCGTGATACAGATTTAATTGTCTCGTCGCCACCCGATACCCTGTCCAGACTTGATATGAAGTGAGACCAGTACTATGATCCTATACTTGCGTCAGCGTTTAGCAGAGCGCTGCGCATTGCCATTTATCCGTCGTTGCCGATGAAGAAAGGCGATCAATGAGAACCCAAAATTAACGTGGATCAATCCACGTACCAATGAATTTATATGAGTACACTATCGTACCCAATTTATAATCAAACCTTACCGCATCTGGGATTAAGAAACTGATCAGCAACTTAGCAACTTCAACCCTCACCTGATGCGCGCCTGGCTGACGCAACGCACTGGCGTTTTTCTCAATAACGATGTTCATTGGTTAATAAAACACCCCCTCTGCTTCTGTCCTAGATCACTTGTATTTTGTATTGCCGCAATCAAATGCGTCGTCGTCCGCGTTCTTCTTCTTCTTCTCCTTCTTCTCCTCCTGCTACTACTTCTACTGACAATATCTTCTTTCGTTTACCATGTGCTTTACTCGTTGAATTTCTAGATCTTCGTGAGGCGATAAATTTATTAAATACGAGTCCATGGCTTCGTTCAGATCGTGTTTTAACCTCTACAGCATTAGAAAAGACACGTTATGCCCAACATTTTCATCAAAAATGTGCTGCTGATTGGTGGCATTTAACACCCGCTTGGAAACTGGGATTTCAACATAATGAAAGTGAATGGGGAAGAAGAAGAAGAAGAAGAAGAAGAAGAAGAAGAAGAAGAAGGAGGAAGAGATCATACACTTGAAATATGGGAAGATTGTCATGTTCGAACAGCTGCTGGGAAAGAATTAACGTACTGGAAAGACACAGTACGGGATACACCACAATGGCAACATGTGCCTCTACTCTCGATCATTGATTTTATGGTCTCCAAGTTGTTACCACAGAGTTACATTACATTTAAATATGCAGCTACTGTGTATACAGCGAGACCAGTGATTGTCAGACTTCATCCGCTTTGTGAGAGACAAGAAAAAGAGAGAAAAAAAGAGATGGACAGGATGCAAAAGATCAAAACATTGCACGTCGAATGTGTGAAGTTTTAGGTGCTGAGACTGGAAATGGTAAATTAACGTCACTCTTTGGACTTCATTGGGAGAATATGAAGGTGGATGTAGAGACAGGCAAAGTGACGTGTGGAGTCTGTCAATTGTATGCTCATGAAGTTGAAAAGTATCAGACAAAAGTAGCAGAAATGATTAGTGAGTGGCGAGCAGCAGTGAAGGCGGAACTTCCTGGATGGAAAGAAAAGGGCATGCATCAGATGGAAATCGATCGTCGGACGTACGAGATGCGAGAAGATATGATCCCATACAGTGGTTTCTTTACGTCAAACGTTGCACGTCGCCATGGAGATATCATTATTCGCCACATTTGTTCCTACTGGACGACATTGGACCATCTCAAGATCAATACACTCGAGTATCAACACGCGTCACAGCTCGTCGCTGCGTTAACTTCCGACATTAGGAAGCAGTGCCAGCATTTTTCGAAGATCAAGCAGGCGATGACGAACGCGTTTCCACGTGTAGCGAGAGTCCGTTACGAAGCCAATGAGATGGAATCTCCACCATTGACGAATTTGTGGCAGAATGCAGCTGTCACGGAGCTCGTTGCAGGTGTATCACATTCCGGATTCCTTTGTGGCATGCTATTCATTGAGAAGAATGTTTGACCGTGCAGAGATCCATTGCAAGGTCCGACATACGGCGACAAGTTTATATGTTGTGCCGATCTGCTCATGCTGCCACTGGTCTACATGTATACATCGAGGTACGTGACATCCGTGGATTGAAGCAAAAACATGAAAGCTACGCTATAAAAAGTCAAGTGGTGCTCTGAAGTACATCGAGAAGGATTCGGCTAGAAAGAAGAAGATGAACGGAGAAAGTCTGCGGACTTGCACGAAGTGAAATTAAGCTCCAAATAAAATTAGCTGCGAGCTAGACGTTGAGCATTGATCTCTAGCTTGCAGTATTTGTATTCATTAACCTGCAATACTAGAGACATATTCCTTCATCTCGTCGTGCCAATCAGTAGCAAAGGTTCACCATTTTGTAGGCATGAAGAAGGGACGTATAGCAAGAGGATACACGTCTGCATCATTTGCCAGTGCTCTTGCAGTCATTTTCACACCCCAAAACGAAGTATGGAGATGTTTCGATGTCAAGTCGACACTGACACTCGTATATGTCGACAAAAAAGCTCGTCAAACGCTTCAAACATGGCTCGACGCAGTGGTACTCGATCTCTCACTGGGAAAAGAAGCACTGCCGATTCGAGTGCAGCTATCACCAAGCACCACTTTCGACACGCAACTCATTGCTGTCTTTAAACTGATGATGCCGTTCACTTACATTACATCCATTCAACTCCCTCTTGCCAGCATGCAGTACAAATTACCACAAGACCTCTTGTCCAAGCAGCAAACTAAGAAACAATGGAAACAAGTGTGTCATGGACGACAAGTAAACGTCAGACTTGCAAAGTCCATTGGTAAAGGATGGGGTGTCTTTGCTACCGAGCAGATTCGACAAGGGGAATTTGTAGCTGAGTATACGGGTGAACTCATTTCATCCCGAGACATGCAACAACGTTATCGAGATTGTTATGACCAAGAGGCACTGAATTATGTGTTATCATTACGGGAACATGTAGCTAAACGAGATCACTTGACATTGGATTTTGATATCGTACGGACTAATGTGGATGCAACTTATAGTGGAAACTTGACTCGCTTTATCAACCACAGTTGTTCATCTAATCTAGACGTAAAGGCGATCCGAGTGGACTCGTACGTGCCGCGTCTGGCACTTTTTGCTCAAAAGTGCATTGAAAATGGCGAAGAATTGACAATTGATTATGGTGATGGAAGTTTAGAGAATGCAATGAATGGACAAGTTGAGACAAGAGGAAAAGGTCGAGCATGTCAATGCACAAGTCGCACGTGTCGAGGGTATTTGCCATTTGTATTGGAATGATTCGTCCAAACACCTTGCGTTTTGTAAGACTTGGTTTTCCAATTGACTGGTGAGCACGAGATGGAGCTGGACAAGAGTTATGATCAAGTGTGTGAAGATGCAAGTGCTGCTGCTGAGATGCGATTGTTGCAACATTTGAATCAGCACGGGGGAGATGTCTGGAGTATTGGCTCTGGATGTCACAATTGTCGTCAGAGAGTAGAGAATGCTAGCGAGCTAAAGGTGTGATGACGATCGACTGGAGCAGCTTTTGAATGACTTGTTGAGAACATCACTTAGTGTCTTGTTGTTGTTGTTGTTGTTGTTGTTGTTGTTGTTGTTTCTTCAGCGATGTGGGAACTGTGATGCAGCTTTGTTTTGTAATCGTGAGTGTCAAGTCTCGGCGTGGCCTGTGCATAAGGCCGAATGCTGCGTCATTGCGACTTTCAATCGACTGGACAAGTCCAGCAGCTCCGACTCCAAGTACGTCATTGTCTACTGCAGTGGATAGACTTGACGTGGACTTACACGTGAACACTTATGGCTCATTGTGTATCGGATGCAGACTTGCTTCGCTACTCGAGACGCTGACGTTTTCATTTCATCCCAAGAAGGTCAATGATTCCAAGACTGTAGGCGTTGCAAGCTCGATTGGCATGAACGGTCCGGAACTCCCGGGCTGGTTTTTTACCGTAGACTTCGAAGAGGTGCTTGGTTCTTGTATTTATAAATGCCTTGGATGTAGTAAGGGAAACCTAAGCACCTGGATCGTTCGTGCAGGCATCGAAGGAGCGTCAAAAGGTCTTGTTCCAAGCGGCACTTGAGCTATATGGACTTCTCAGAGACGACGAGTGCTGGTAAAGAAAAACAAGTGAATACCCCCCATGCTGACACGTTATTGAGACGATAATGTTGCTGGTGTCTGTAGGACTCGCGACAAAGAGAGCTTCCCTCGTTCGAGCTACACGCTGGTGGAGGTTTGTTAAAGTTCTGTCATGTATGATGCTGGTGCCAACACATGTTTGATCCCCCTTGCATGATCTAGTCACTGCCTCGCGTAGCACCTGCGGCAAAACAGTTGCAAAAGCATTTCATCGAGATGAATGGACATCTCTTGCTGTTTTCGGCATGGTTACAGCACCCGGAGCCACCTGCTACACAGGCCATGCCCTTCGAGGACCGCAGTTTCTTTGGTGTAGTAGATTCGCTTCTGCAGATCAAGTACGAGCATTGTTTGTCGATCGTTTGCTTTGCTTGCACCGTCACTAATGATATAGCCCCTTCTTCTTTGCAGTACACTTCGCGACGGTGTGGATGCCTTCATGGATGCGAATCAACAGTAACAAAAACAACTAGACGCTGCCATCTTCATTCACTCTCGTTCATTCAACAATCATGTGCAACTCAACTCATATGTGTATGTAGTTAGCACGCGGTTTGCCCGACGAAAAGCAAAGGCAGGTTGCACAAAACCTTACGGCGACACCTTGGCAATGCGATACAGAGTGTCCAGCATTTCTTCAATATTCTCATCCATTTCGTAGCATTCAAGTGCAGCAACAATCTTTTCATCGTCGCTCAAGATCAAATCCTTTAGACGTGACTTTTCCTCTGCTGAGATCAATTTGTCTGCTGCAATGCGGCTGGTTGCCTTGAGTGCCAACGCGTAACGGGCGCGTGGTGATAGCGTGCACTTCTTCAACACTCTGTCCTCCCCCAGCTCCCCTTCTAGCAGTATTCAGACAGCATCAATCAGTATCAACCTCATATGTTAGTCCGATTGCTGCTTAGTCGATTCTCTCCTCCTCACCGTCAATGATGCCCTTCTCTTCCAGCTCCGTCACCGACGGTCTTTGACGCAGTTGGCGAGCAACCTGATCCGTCTTTAACTGATGCTCCAGCTGGTGTTTGGTCCCTTGCAACACTGGTGCCACCGCCACATCCTGGTCTGCTCAGTAACAATCAAAACAACCACAACAACCGCCAACAACAGTCTTTTAGCAACTAGCAACTAGCACTAGGACGTCCAGCTACCTCTTTCACGTCCTATTACCTTCTAGAATATTGTGCGACACAAGTTCCTCCTTCTCAGGTCGTGACTCCAGTAAATGTGACACTTGATTCTGTACCAAATTCCTCTCGAGTTTCTTTGCTGTAGCCGTGAGACTCGGTGCCAGTTCTCCACTTGTCTCTAATAAGCCCGTAGTACGAAGCTCCTCGATCGATGGCCGATTGGTTAAATGCTGGTTCACCTTGTCCGCATTCAATTGACGTTGAAGCTTTTCCTGTGTCGCCTGTAGACTCGGAGCCACATTTTCATCGCCATGAACAATTGCGTGATCACGCAGCTCCTGTACATCCGGTCGAGTCTCAAGCCGATGTGACAGTTCATCAGCGCTCATCTTTTGTTGTAGTTGCTTCTGTACACTTTGAAGTGAGGACGCTACAGTCGATGAGGTCATCGGGAGCACATTCCGTTGCTCTAAATCCTCAAGATCCGGTCGTTCTTCCAGTAAATGATCAATTTTCTTCCTTGTACGACAATGTTGTTCCTTGATCATTACTTGCTCATCTGTTAATGGGACCGGTTCTTGGTAAGGGTCAGTGATCTTCATGGACGTGGGTGTTTACTCTTAAGTCCTTGGAAGAAAGAATCTTTATGCAATAACGGGCGTATAGCAGACGTGTTTAATCTAGATCTTTGTATGACGACCTGACTTACGGTTACGTCAACCACCACCCAACCTTTGGGCCCCTGTTTGTTCTCTTTTCTTAGACAAACCTGTAGGCACATTCAATGAGCTGCTGAGCCGTGATTTTACTCTCACCAGTACGATTTAGCTCTTCCTTGGCCATTTCCGTCACAAGCAACAGTTTCTTGACCGAAATTGGACGATCCGACAGCAGCGTCAACACCTCGTCCTTCTGATCATTCGCAACGGGCAGACCCGTGTGCGTCAATACCATCTCCAGTTCATCCTTTTGCGTCAGCTGTGGTACTTCGAGGCACAGATCAAAGACATCACTTAGCTCGACGCCCTGTAAGGCGGTCAAATTGGATGTGATGCCGATCACCACAAGCTTCCGTCCAGCCACAGGCACTGGGTTGCACACCAGCACCATAAGCGCCTGCAGCACCAAGTTGGAAAAACGAGGGCCCATACCTAATAAGGAACACAAAATGAGTAGTGCACAAGATGATGTTAGTTCTTCGCATGACATAACATCCTTAGTCTACAAATGTTTACGCACCAACATAGTCAATAAGACGCTCGATATCGTCCAGAATGATGATGCTGAGCGGAGATCGGTACGCTTCCTCAAATAAATTGTTGATAAACGAACACTTGCCACTCTCCGCACGCGAGATAAGCTCAGAAGCCTTCACTAGACGCACCAATGGAAATTCACTTGCAACAGCGCAGTACGTGGCCAACGCAGTCTTACCGGCACCGCGTTCGCCATGCAGCAGCACCGACATCAACGGTGTCTTGTCGTTCGAGCGGACTTGATCGATTACACGGGTCAGTGCCTCACGCACGTCAGTGAATGAACTACCGTATGGAATCAGTCCGTTTTTATAGTACAATGCCAGCTGATCGCTGGGGGCACCAAACTTGGGCTTCACTTCCTCTAGAGCCAGCGCGAAATCCTCCATGGAGATTTCGGGATTGTAATTAGCGATGGCGTTCATCGTCCGCCCATCAGTTCCGCGTGAGAGAGCATGCGCTGTGGCGGCACGCACCAAACCTTCAATCTCAGCTCCCGAAAAATTCTTGGTGCGCTGGACAAGGTTTTTGTAGTCAGGATCATCGCTAACGACCTTGGTCGGATCAAGACAGTTGTCAAGGTCTGCCATGACCTTCCGGTGCAATGCTCCCTTCTCGCGGGCACGGTCTGTGTGAATCTTAAAAATCTGAGCACGTCCTTTTTCATCAGGCAGGTTAATCTCGATCTGCACTTCGAGACGGCCTGGACGCATCAAAGCTTCATCCAGCATATCCTGGTACAAAACAAAACAAGCACGTTTGCAATCATACCTTCAAGCAACGCACACATGTAACGCAAGCAATTTCGCACCTTTCGGTTCGTCATTCCGATCACCAGAACATTGTTCAAGCTGTCAACGCCATCAATCTGCGTCAACAGCTGGTTTACCACGCTGTCACCTATGCCTGTGCCACTAGTGCTCGAGCCACGCTGCTTGCAAATGGCATCGATTTCATCAAAGATAATGATGTGCACATCACTCTCGTCTCCAAACTCCTCCTGGTCCTTTCGCGCATCAGAAAAGAGTTCACGAATCTTGCGCTCAGACTCACCGACAAATTTATCCAGAATTTCAGGTCCATTAACCACTTTCGGTTCCTTTGCAGTCATCGCCTGGGAGATCTTGCGTGCAATTAGCGTCTTACCACAACCGGGCGGTCCAAAAAGCAGCATTCCACGAACGTGCTGAATACCGAGCTTCTGAATGACCTCTGTCGGGAACAATCGTGAAGCAAATGCACGACGAAAGATGTCGTTGAATTCCTTGTCCAAGCCACCAATGCCGAGCTTTGTAAAATCAAAGTCAGGTTTAAACACCGAGCGTGTCGAGCCACTCGACTGGTTTGTAAGACGAATAGGGGCGTCCTTTGCTTTAGTAAAGCCAACAATGGCTCCTGGAAGATACGTGCCCAGTCGTGGGGCAAAGGTATCGGAATCTCTATCGTCCCGATCCACCGTGTCGACGGCAATGCACTGAAGACGCAGTGGAAGACCATCACATTTTACAGCCAATAGTTGCCCTACAGCAAAAACTTGGTGGGTATATTCTGCTTCAAAGACGTCCTTGAGTAAAGTACAGTCCACTACACGTGGATTATTGCCCTGTGCCCGTGTCAAAACTTGCTGAATTTCAAATGTGACAGTAGAAATCACATTCATGGAAGAGCTAGAAGGTGCATAGACAGTAATCTTACAAACTTCATTCATAGGCAGTCCAAGACACATACGTTGCATGGTTCCAATAGCGACAGTTCCTGGTTCAATTTCCTTATGTGGCTTAACAGCGAGTATAAATTTGCGATTAAGCCAAACTTTTAGTCCATAGGCACGTAAATCTTCCTTTGTGACAATCCCCTTGGGTACTTTATGTACAAGTGACATAAAATCATCAAGATGAACGTAGATGCAATTCGTAAAAGCATAAGAATTCCCAGGAAGTCCCACAACAGCCACTTCAAATGTCATTTTTCTTGGTGGCGACTTTTGAAATTTTGAAAAATGATGAGATTTACAGTAGAATTTATAAATTAATAACCAATCATAAGCTTTATTGTAATTCAACCAATAGAAACAAATGTTAGAAAAAAGAAAGGAATTAATTGGGCAAGTATCTTTTCGTTTTAGGCACATCAGTCAGTAATTATACTCTTTCGCGTCGACCTTCAAGTTTGGTAACAATAGAAAATGCTGGAAATACCAAATACTGCTTTTAGGTAAATTGATGCAAAAAAAGGGATTTCGAACCCTCCATATTGAATCATCAAGCTACTTTTGATAAAATAATTAATTGATGCAGAATAAAAGTAGAATAATAATAAAATTGGAATCATATATGTAATATTCGTGGAGGGCAAGTTGTCAGCATACATAGTTGTAGTTTGTTATATCTAACCCAAGTTATAACAGATTCGTTTTATTAAATAGTTTGACTATATTGAATACAGTTCTCTTTTTCTTTTCAACTACGTGTTTGTTTAGTTGATTAGCTTCTTCTGCCTCTTCGTGTACGAAAGGTTTTAAGGCACCTGCTTACACTTTCATCAGTATAGTCGGAGGGTGCACCGTCTCGTAGTGCCTCTACATCGACTGCTGTTCCTATTGCTATGGTGCTTAACGACGACAGGCTCGGGCATTGTGGCCTGTCTGTTGTCAATCCGACATTGCCGGCGTCGCGCAGGAGATTCTAAGCCAGCAGAACCATGCTCAACCTGTGGTATATAGGTCGCTGTGTTGATCCCGTTGGTCGATCACGTGTCTGAACTTTAATGGGATTGCGAAGATCGACCTCTGGGACAGTCAAGCAGCACACGCTTGTGATGGTTTGGGGCATCGTCGTATTCGTCTGCGATCTTCTATAATGCCACATTAGTTTATACTGGCGCAGCCTCAACATGCATCTGCGGTGGCTACACCAGCCACAAATGCCGATCTAACTCATTGACCGCTAGTAATGTCCTTTGGCTGAAAAATCACGAACACAAGGATAGTCGATCATAGATTTCAACAAGCCTAAAATTAAGGATAAGCTGTCAGTCACAATCATATACACTAAAGTAAAGCATACAATCCTCGACACTTTCCATCTTCACCATGCCGCTGATAATACTGCTGATACGCTTCACTTAGACCTGCTACCGATATACTTCCAAAAATTTTGGTTTGAAGTGCATAATGACAATGAGGGCATGCTACTTTGCATTTTGCTGCACAATAACAACAAGCTGACCTTCACATGCAAGGCGAACCGCTGAATATACTGATAATACATCACATGCAATGAATTGAAAGCAGCGAACAATAGCCAAAACAAGAGCACAACGAATCACGCCTTACCTGTTTGTTAGCACAAATATCCATTTTTGAGAGCGACATGAGCGCTTTCCACATGCGACGTTGTAACATGGCCATAATGGCGTTTATTGCGTAGGATACAGCAACAAACCTTTCCTTGTACACAAGTCAAGTCGTACCAAGGTACCGCATCGACAAGACAAGGAATGCAACATGCAGTGATGCAAGTTTGGTGGCAGTCACAAGCTCGTTCCAAGCTAGAACAAAATTTTCCCTGGCGTCCAGCGCTTCAAAGCCATCCTCTGCTTGGCAAAGATGTTCTTGCTAATATGCCAGTGGCAGAGCAAACAAGATGCATTGGGGATAGTCTGCGCGAGCGCGTTCATCAGCGCAAGTTCTCGATCCGTTCGATACCCTGTGCTACCTCTAAGCCTGTTTTTCTAGGTCCTTCTAGAAGCTTCGTAGTGACTTCATCTAATGCCGTCAGTCTGTGACTTCATAGTCTATCTAATATGCATTCATCTGTGCAACCCTAACACATGTTCTGTCGTGCCGTACGTACCCTACGCAGATGGTGAGATAATCAGCAAGTGAGTGAGCTGCTGCTGTGCATCAACCTGAGTGATGTAGCTGCTGGTAGGTAGAATATCCGAAAGTTGAAAGCGGGTTGCATTCATTTTGAACTGCGTATGTTGTAAAGGTCTTGAGACGTGACCCTAACATTGCTAATTTGCCGCAGTGAAGCGACAATACGGCTGGGTATCACACCAGTGCGCGTTAGAGAAAAAACTGATTGACGATTTTCTTCTGCCAAAGTGCACCATTTGTGGTTGTGCTTTTCATTGGAAACTTTACCTGCCAATCTCCAGCTTCTAATTTCCGTTGCTTTAACATCCAGTGCTACGGCTGGACGACATACGCTGGCGAGGTCCTGTACGTATGGCTGGGGGGGGTGATCGGGAGCAGACAAGAATTAAGGCTATAACGTCACCGTCTTTCTTATTGCCGATCCTTTTTGTGCGTTTGATTGCAACAACATAACCTTCCTGCTGTGCATGAGCATTTATTGTGGCTCTTGCTCGTTCCAGGAATGCATATGCAAGCTGCGAAGGTGTTCATTGTGGTTTTAATGGAGATGCAAGGTTTTATTATTATTGACATTGGATGTTAAATATTGTGACCAATCAAGTTTTGATAAAATTGGAAAGGTGGGTGAATTTACAAGAAAGGGTGGGATATGTAACGCTCCCCTATATATCATCTGATTATTATAATGTATATAAGTAATGAACATGTGATCAATTCATTTGTACTGATATACATCTGAACATTTAGAGAAGTGCTAAATATCTAGCCTGCTAAAGAATACATAAGTGACGAGTACACGTATCGGCTGATGTCATAAGTTAACGTCCAGACATTATTTGACATATTGTTGCTCTTGCGTGTGTATCCTTGTATTTATGATGGCTTTAGCTCGATCATCAAATATGACCTTATTACCTTGACTATCATATAAAATTAAACGTACAGTATTGCTGAATTAAACAATCATTATATATCTATTTATATTATTTTACCGATTATTAATTTGGGCTATTAAAGAGAACCACCAATAGTCACTCACTTTCAAGTCTTGTTTATATAAGCTATTCAAACCTGGCTAATTTCCAACTTAATGTCTATATATAATTATATAAGATACTCTATTAATTTTACAATTTAATTTTTATTTTTTTAAAGGCAGATTACAAAGAAATATAATACTTTTTAAGAAGTTAAAATCTGCCTATTAATTAAAATATATATTACCAAAATATAAATGTTAAAAGTGTTTGAATCGGTTTAAACAGCTTCCCATCCATATGCTATCGTAGTTAGTTCAGTCATGCTAAGCATAACGAATTGCTCTCATTGAAAAAGTGAATAATATATACTAGACATGTGTTCTCTTGTAGAAATAGCTCTGCTCAATTTCTTTTGTTATAATGTTAATATTCGTTAAAATATATATATATATAATATAGGTCAGACAATATTAACATTAAGCAACATAAATATATACATATATAATATATAGTTATCATCATTATAGATTAAGAACTAATTCTATGTTTTACATTTTTAGGTAATATTACGATGACATATTTCCAAGTGTTGCTTGCAGATTATGAAAGATGATTACACCAAATTCTTTTTTATATTTATTCAACATAAAGCAACAGCCTTAGCTAAGAAAGGTGCGGTAAATACTGCCTCTTTCGGTCGCCACGCCTTTGTCGCTGGTGACGATACCATTAAGATGGATCGTGATAATTGGAAATTGCCTACTGGCCACCGCTCTGGTTTAGTGCGGAACCATTACAAACGACATAATCACCCGTCCTAAAGTAGTGGTGTGTATTTTTCCGATCCCTGACTGTGAACATAGCGGCAACCCGTCCTTTCGACAAATATCTCAATTGGCTTCGTAGTTTTGTCGATCATGAAACTCAATGGGTTTTGATGGTCACGTCACCAAAATCAGCCGTCAACATGTTATGAGACATGCGAAGTAGTTCACCATGTGTTAAGTTGAGCGCAGGCTTTAGACAAATATTAGCCAATTAAACTTTCATTATGATTCGACCAATAGATGCCAGCCAGGGCGGTATGCTGCCAACTTCAACTTCGTCACATAATGAAATTAGGCTTCAATCTTCAGTCCTTTACTGAGCAGAAACGCGTCCTGATTGGGCGAGCGACCCAAAAAGTCCTTGAGCATAACACTTGCATCCACAGAACCACCACGCGCTAAAATGAGCTCCCGATACGCAAGTCCCGTCTTTGGATTCATCAGTCCTTCCTTCTTGAAACGAGATACAAACATGTCGACGGAATATACTTCACTCCACATGTAGCCATAATACTGTGCATCGTAGCCACCAGCCAAATGACCAAACGACGCAGCAAAGTTCGTCTCAGGCGTCATGTCAATCAGCATAATCTCACTTTGTAGCTGCTTCAAGAGCTGCGCCGTATTCGTCTTGGACTTTGAGTGAATAGTTTGGTCAAAGATGGCAAAAAGCAACTGGCGTTTGTTCAACAGTCCAGTGCTCACATTCTTTGTCGAGATCAGACGTGCAATCAGATCGTCCGAAAGTTTCTACAACCAGCAGACAAAAAAGTCAGATGGACTTATAATCAACAACAAGCAAAAGATGTGCTCAGGAAAGCAAACGTACTGCGCCAGTTTCATAATGCGACGACAGACGCTGCAACGGCTCCTTTTCCCAGCACCAATTTTCCAGCATCTGACTTGGGGCTTCAACGAAATCACGCTCTACACGCGTGCCTGCAAAGCGAGGAATGTCCACTTCGGAGCACAAGCAGTGCATCACGTGGCCGAACTCGTGGAAGTACGTCACGACCTCCTTGTGTCCCAGGAGCGATGGCTTTGACTTGGTCGGGGCATTGAAGTTAGCGACCATGGCGGCAGCAGGATACTGTTTGGGATCAATACACGACCACGTAAGACAACAATTGATAATTCGAGCACTTACATTAGAACGTACCTCACGGACACCAGCAGAATTGGCGCAGCCTTGTTGAAGCGTAAAGCAGGCTGCATGGCCATACTTTCCCGCGCGGGGGAACAAATCCAGGTAAAAGTGACCAACAAGGTTACCGAACTTACCCGGACGGGCATCGTAGACCGCGAACATGCGAACGTCTTCGTGCCACACGTGAGGCTGAGAAATCTCCACGAACTTCAGGCTCAGCAGATCCTGGTACATGGACAGTAGTTCCACCGTCACGTGCGAGAGCGGAAAATACTCACGGAGCTTTTCTGAGTCGATGGAGCAGTGCTTCTTGACGAACTGGTCCATGTAGAAGCGGAAGTCCCACATATTGATTTTTCCGTCAAACTTCCATCCATTACGCTCACAGTCGGCCTCCTTCAGCCTCAATAGATCATCGAGATTTCTCTTGGCAAGCGGCACTAGCTTGTTGTTCAGGTCATTCAAGAAAACCTGGACGTTTGCCGGCGATTCCGCCATCCTACCGGGAACAGCACACGAATACTACAGTTTAGATGGCGCTATCCGTGCGCATGATAGAAAATTACGATCTTACCTTTGCTCGAGAACGTACGCAGCATGATTTTCGTATCCAAGTGTCAGTGCTATTTTGTGTCGGATATCCAGCATCTCTTCGAGAATGGCGACGTTCTTGGCGATGCAGCGGCGATTGAAGGCATACTCCACAGCCTTGCGAGTCGATTCCACAGTGCACGTGTTAAGGATTGGGAATACTGTCGGGTACGAGAGGACAATCTGTAAACCAATGTGAATCCGTCAGAATGACCAAAAAGCAAAGAAAAGTACAGATAGTACAGGTCTCACCTTGTACTTGTCATTATTGCCCTTCTCAAGTGCAGCAATGAAGTCTTCACTGAGCCCCTTTAGCTCGTCATGTGAAAACTCGACTTCGATCGTCTCCTCCGAGAGGTTTTGCTGAAATTGAATGCCGAGCTTGGACAGCTTCTGCTTCCAGGCCTGCACCTCTTTTTGCTTCTCATCTGGTAGCTGCAATCCGTTACGCTCAAAGTCCTGCACCAACCGGTGCACGTAGCGCTGCGTCACTGGGTTCAGTTTCTGCCAGCAAAACAACAAGAGCTCGCTCCTCCATCAGTCTAATTTCTAGAGCAGAACCAGCTCTGATATCTTCTTACCTGATAAGCTGCACTCCTATAGAGCGTGTGAATGGACTTATAAACTTCCGCACGCATGCTGCGCTGCACCGCAAAGTCGTCAATGGCTTCGTCTGCTTTAGTACAAACGTCGCGTGTTTCCTTGTCGGCCGCCACTTGCCCCAGGAACGTCACATTCGTCACATGGCTAAGCATCTCGTGGTCTAAATTTATAAGTTTTTGTACAGTGTTTTCAAATGTCACAGCAGAGGACGGTAGCGCCGCGATCTCGTCGTCCACACGTTTCATCTGCGCCAAGATCCGCTCCGTCTCGGCCTCGATCTCTGCGATACTCAGATCAAAATGCAAGTGAGTCAATTGCTTACGCAACAGACGCGTTCGTTTTTGCTTCTTGCTACGCGCCCACATGGCGAGACCCGCGAGTGCTGCGGCACATGTGGCCACAGCCAACGCATTCTTTTGTTTATCATTTGCCATTATTGACCGAATCTTTAAATGCGCAAATGGGACATTATAACACGGACAAAATGTTTGAGATGCCATGAATATTAGCGGGATATAGTTGGACCAGATGACGTCCTGATCCTAACAAATGGCTACATTCTAGCATCTTCCGAGAGCATGGCAGCGGCGTCTTCGTCGATAAACCAGTAGATTTCACCATCTATGAGCTTGATGTTTGCAGCGGGCAACGGAGGCGTGCGCTTCTCAATGCCGACCATGTGTGGGATCAGCTCGGCCTTGCCAGCCCCAGTGGCGACGAACGCGACCTAGTACCATCAGAGATACATTAACAAGCGGCTCTTAAAATCTTCAAGTCGACAAGATACACGTACATTGGCGGCATTGTTCACAACTGGATAAGTGAGCGTGATACGTTGTGATGGCGGCTTAGGCGAGTCCTCGATAGACGCTACAAACAGCGTCTTCTCCTCCAAAAGCGGGTGGCCTGGGAAGAGCGAGCATGTGTGGCCGTCTGGGCCCATGCCTAACAAAATCAGATCGAAGCGAGGTAGCTACGTACAATAGCATACCTAGTTAGTTGTAGAACGTACTACTGGTAGTACGAGAGGGGTGCTCACATCGTTGCCCCAGACTTCTGCCAGTTTCTTGGTGTAATCTACAGCCATGCTCTTCGGGGTCAGTGAGGCATCGATAGAGAAGATCTGACTCTCTGGTATAGATATCTGCATGCATTTCCATTCAATAACATATATCGTGCAATGTAAGTTTAGCAGACGAGAATAAGGTAGAGCTGGCTGGCCTCATACAAAGTCGAATAGCGCCTCCTTGCAAGCCTTGTAGTTGCTGTCGTTATGCTCCAACGACACACAGCGCTCATCAGCAAAGTAGACGAACCACTTGGAGAAGTCTACTTCATCCTTAATGGCCTGCAAGCCCTTCTTCAAGATCTACAGCAAAGTAGTTTAGTCAGGAGGAACCCAGCAGCAGAGGTAGTAGATCTCGTACACATTGCTTACTTTAGGCAAAGAACCCCCCGAAAGCGCCACTGTAAATCGACCATTAGCGGTAATGGTCTCCTTGCTCAGCTTGAAGATAAGCTGACCAACAGCAGCGCCGACTTTATCGGAGGTACTCGATACGTGGACAACCATTATTTAAACTTTATATAGGCAACACCAAGCAGCCACTGGTTAAAAAACGATATCACACTTGAAGAATCCTAATGGTATTATCGCTACTAGTTACTAGTCTTGGGGTCATACTTGTGTGTGTAGAGGCAATAAATTACCCTGGTGGGTGGTTACCAAATGATCGACAGTGCGTCGATATTTGTACGCACGCCTCTTCCAGCCCAACCTGTCCAACGCAAGACCCATCGTGTCTTGCTAAGAAACAGCGACCAGGAGACTATGATTTCCTAGTGTTAGAGCAGCTCTTTCTGCCACAATTTTGCCGTGCTTTGCTCGCAGGGGTGGATCTCACACTCTCTCATCGCAATGTAAACAAATATCCACGAGGTATCGTGTGTGATCCTTCCAAAGCAGTCAGCAAGCTCACGATCCATGGCCTCTGGCCCAACTACAACAACGGATTTCCCGCTTGCTGCAACGTAAGCGACACAATCCACAACGAGCCGCTGGACCCGCTGAGCTACGCAGTAGAGTCGGCAGAGCTACTGAGAGAGATGAATGATGTATGGGTAGACCCGACGCAGCCTTCAAGTTTCCGTACTCTGTGCGAGCTGTACAACCACGAGTTCCAGAAGCATGGACTGTGCTACGCCGCCAACGGTAGAAAGGACTTTGATGTCAGCGCTAGAGAATATTTTCGCGCAACAATACATGCTGCTGCTGTCTACAAGGAGGCTACCGTGACAATAAATCTTTGGGCGGCTGCAAGCAATCCGAAGACAACAGTCGCTGCGATCACTGCATTGTACCAGACGCGAGTGCAGATTTTGTGCTCGGCTGTTGAGTCAATAGGAGGTGAATCTGAAAATAGCTTTGCTGCCATACATGTTTGCTTTAGCAAACCGGCTAATGCCTCTGCTGCTCTAACCCCGATCGACTGCAACGATCCGTCCCCGACCGCCGTGTTTGTCCCGTGTAGTTCTGCAATCCCTGTTACGCTCACCAAGTACATTCCACCACCTCCAGTAGCGTTATCAGCCGTGACTTCTGAGCTCTATACTTTCATGTGAGCTATACTTTCGTTTTATTTGTGAAATCACGATAAGTCTCGCGGTACTGCCACATGCGAGGCAGAATTAATTTGGTAGCATATGCGCACGTTTTGCGCTCTATCGAGTTTGGGCCACCAAAAAGAATTTATAGGTCTTTTCACTAACAATTGTGAATACATTAAGTGTAAGAAGAGAGAGGCAGACAAGTTTTTTTAACCTTTAGTGGTTGCAGGATGTCTGGTAGAATCTATGTAGACGGACACTTCTACGAAGTTGCCTCGTGCTACTTAGCACACACCTTCAGCACAAGCGAGGAAGCGGTTATGTGGTGAAGTGCTAATTTGGTAATGTGGAGGTCCCAGAATCCAGTTGGATTCGAAGTATAGACCGTGGGTCAGGGACAGGGGACCAGAGAGACAGGGGCCTCGAAGGGGAGCGACCGTTGGTGGAGAACAATCCGCAGGACCCACCGAAGAAAAATCAGTATCAGGGTACCGTTTAACCGGTACCAAAGGGAGTTGGTCATGGCCCTTCATTAAACGACCTGGCCCCTCGTTGGTAGACCCGGGTCCCTCATAGGTCGACCTGGGTCCCTCATTGGTCGACCCGGTCCCTCATCGGTCGACCTGGGTCCCTCATCGGTCGACCCGGTCCCTCATCGATAGACCCGATCCCTCATAGGTAGACCTGGGTCCCTCGTCGGTAGACTCGGTCCCTCGTTGGTAGACCTGGGTTCCTCATTGGTCAACTCGGTCCCTCATCGGTAGACCTGGGTCCCTCATTGGTCGACCCGGCCCCTCATCGGTCGACCTCGGCCCCTCGGGGTTCAGCCACTCCGGACCAGTTAATACAAGGATCAGACTAGTCGACGCTAGGAATCAGTGTAACGGGGCTAGAACGTACCGTCACTAGCTTACACGTGCGCTTGAGGAAGACTCAAGTCCAAGTATTAGGTATTAAGTAAATTTAACTCTGATTTTTATTTTGGTTTTAATTCGTACTAATTACG